TATGATAAAGAGAATCCTCATAATTGTCAGACTAACATGTCGTGGATACACAGCCGTGCCTATGTAAGGATTAAACCATGGTGGCTTCTCAGGAATTAAATAGGACTTGCGCGCGCGCTATATTTTGAGAAATTTTCTTCTGCACACCTCGTGGAATAAGTCAGATAACTATCAGTTGTCACGAGTGCGAGCTAAAAAGTTCAGTTAAAAGGAAGCCAGATTCTCAGTATTATTATATGAATGTTATTATTAGATAATCCCTCATGGCAAAGAATGCGAGTGGAATAAGTGGCTCAATTGTAGCTCTGCCGCTAAGATCTGCACGAATTAATCGACCATCTGACGTAGAGGACAGATTTATCGTAACATAAGACTATTTTCCTTTCCAAGGACCAGTGGTTCTTGTGGTTAAGCGTGTGGCACTTAGTCCATCCTCTGCATTCCTCTTAAAATCAACTTAACATCGCTAGACATCTATGTTAAACCACTAAGTTCGACGTGCATAGTTAATGATATTCTACCGGTTGGACGTCATCATCGCATTAGTTATTAGTTTTCACATAACATTGCAAACCATCCAAGTCAAACTTTAAGGGTTCGAGGTATGTACCCAATGATTTTACTGCTGCTTTTCTGACTTAGGATTTTAACATATAGTGAGCTTAAGCGTTTCTGCTGTACGAGATAATGTGTACTCTAATTGAATGGGTCTGAAGGCAGCTGTCTCCCTGGGAGCTCGTCATCGTTCGCATTCGGTAGTTCTCTAGCAAACTTGATAACCTTCGACTGAGGCCGTTACAATGAAAACATTGCTTAAGGCCATCGCGGTAGTTCTTGCTGAAGATAAAACAAATGCAGGGATTAACTGCACTCCATGAATGCACAAGAAATTCATAAATGAACGGGAGAATTGTCTGAAATGCACAAATGGGTGGCGATTCCCCATTCCACAGAAACATTTTAAGAAATAAATAGATAAGCGGAAGAGTCATGCAGGAAACGAAGGAGATCATAATGGCCATTGCCAATCTGACAATCTTCCTTAGCTGTTGATCTCGATGGCCTTGGTGACAGGACAATTTCTCTTTAGTTTTTTTGTTCTTTTTTCTTATTGTCCATGCGATAATACCATACAGAATAGCCAGGACACAAATGGGAATGGGGATGAAAGTGATAAAAGTTGCCGTAACAAATCCTCTGTGCGTTTTTACGTGGTCGAATGCTGGTCCCCAATTCATGATACAATACGTTTCATTTTCGTGGGGGATCAGTTTGAAGCTGTAGAAATAAGGTGCGTGGATGGCGATGGCGACAAACCACGTGCTTAGAATGCTGATCAATCGTACTTTTGAGGAGATAAGTTTGGCCTTCAGTGGAAAGACGACAGCGATGAGCCTCTCTATGGAGATCAAGAGAAGGCTTCCTATAGAAACCACAAGAGAAACATCTGAAAGAAAGTAGGCAAGTTTGCATAGAATGTTTCCCAGCAGCCACGGGCGATCAACTTTCCAGGATTCCGAGCCTGAAATGATCTCAACGATCTTCACAGTCATGATGGTCAAAGGCATGAAGAGGTCAGATACAGCCATGTTGAAAACTAAGTAGTTGATGGATCTTCGTAGCTGCTTGTTCTTGTAAATAACTACAAGAATAGAGATATTTCCGAAAAACGAGACCAGGAAAATGAAAATATAAGCCACCGCTTTCGTCGTTACCTCTACAGCGGAGTCGGCCGTCATCTCACAAGCTTGATATGAGTTATTAGAAGCTGCATGGCTGGTTGTATGTGAGCTGTTTTTGGAGAACATTTTTACGGTTGTGTTCATAGTCATAACTTGTTTTGATTATCGTCAATCCACGAGAGAGCTATCGCTTTTGTGAAAGGAGCACTGAGTTTCGTTTTGAAGGATTAAAGGATGGGTCCTATTTATTTGAGAACTGAGTCGTTCCCTTTTGAAGTTAATTTATTTAAATGAATAGAAACAAATGATGGATGAATGCAAATATTCATGAGCCGACATAGTAATTACCATTGACGTTGAAAATAAAGTTCCTCACAAAAAGGACTTTCCTTAAATAGATCAAGAGCAAATGAAAGGGGAAAAAATGGAAAATATGATTGTGGACCATCAAAAGAAACGTCGCACGACTTTGTTTCGGCGCAATCCAACCCGCGTTTGAGCGACATCTACAAATACATAGATTTTAGCTTCTTATAGTTAGCTGACCTTTCTAGTGTGCTTTAATAAAATAACAAATTAAATGTCTTATTCCATGAGGTTCGCGGGAAAAATTTATCCTCTTGTGGCGCTCAATTTTCGTCTCTCCGCATTATTTCACGTAATATCAGCAACTGACGTGTTCGATTCAGTCTGACAGTTTAGGCGACACCCTTTACCATGTTTTATTGATTTTCTGTCGCCATCATATTCCTTTCCACCCCCAACTTGTCTCACATGCCTCATTGATATTCAAATTTTTGGCAGGTTCATATCACGCCTCTACAACTATTACGGCACAGGTCATATTAGGCTTCAATGGGGGAAGGAAGGGTAAATATCGCATGACGTTTGCCAAAGCCATGTTCATTTAGCAACATCCGATGTTGCTTTCAATTTTATTGAAGTTTTCTACCACTAATTACTCAACAGTTTTCTTTCAAATGACATGCAAGCTACGAATCAAAGGGAGGTCTGACACCCATTTTTCTTTTCCCTGATTCTTTTTCTTTTCTACTCTTCCCTTCTATGCGTAGGCTGTTTGCTTTTGCATTATCGAGCATCCGGTCTTATACAACAGTAGATATAGCTGGTGTTGGTAAACGCAAAGTAATGCAGAAGGGTGCTTTTGCATATAAAGCTGATGAGAAATGTATGTCATAAAAATTTACTGCAACGTTTCAATATTAACGCTTGTAAAATGCCTCTGAATCAGTTAAAAAATATATTTCTCTATAAAGATGGTATGATTCTTTGCTGTTTGATTCATCTCTTCTTGATAAGAGGGCCTTTCACTGCATCATCGGACGTTTCAAAGGCCACTTATCGCCCGCTCGTGACGTTCCCAGTTTACAGTGATCTTGGAGTCGCGATGTAGCCCCAATAAAAGAGAAAACAGCGAAACTGTTCGTTTAATTAAGTGCATTCTTTTGTTTTACTTTTATTCTAATTTAGTTTCACACTCTCCTTTCTTTATATAACGTCTAATTTTACATTAATAATGTCGTCGCCGAAACATCATGTTTTAATCTGGCTACATTTTGTTTTTAAAAGTCGTGATATGGCCGCAACATGTTTTGAAAACACGAGCTAATATATCCTCTTAATTCACGTCTTTCGTGTTCCAAAGAAAATTGCAGGAGCGAGATAAAAAGGACCGAAAAGCATGATGATAAATACACTGCATCGTCGTGCATGTACTTACTAACGCACCCAAAATAAGAATTAGATAAGAACTCCGCTCGATTATAAATGTATTCTTTGTCCTGCTACAAAAACTCATAATCATAGAGATAAGACGTTGCTGGGGCCAACCGGTTACCTGAAATTATGCTCATGACTAAAGTGAGAGGTTGTAGATTATAGAAAGGAAAATATATAGTTGATATGAAAACCAGAGAAGGAAGAAGCCTTGCGGTTTATAGCTAAAAATAGAGAGCAAACAAACAAAAAAAGTTGAAAATGGGACATCGGAACTACTTGTAACATTTGTAGGCGAAGGTGGATTGCGTTTCTATGAAAAAACTTATCAGTAATTAGTAACTGCAAATTCTAATGAAATTGAAAAGCCCAATAAACATCAATTTGGCAAACATCACGCACTATTTACTCTTACTTCTTCCGTTTTTACCAGTTATTAGACAACTGACAGTTGCGTAGAAGTGTTATAGACCTTGATCCAGGTGTCCTCTTCTTGTTTGAATAATTGAACAAGAATAGCCCTCGATTCACCTCTATGCATTACAAGATGATAGTTGATTCTACAATAAAAGAGCGAATATGAAAATAAAATAGACAAAAATAAGGGGCAAGAATTGGGGAGTTCATAATTCAGTTTTAGGGACCCAGTTCAAATTAGACAAGTTAGACAAGTGGAGGCCAAAAACAATAATAATAAGAATAATATGGTAAAAAGTATCCTCATAATCGTCAGACTGAATCGAAGATGTCTACTCTGATATCAACTGGCGTTGGCCAGAAAGACTGCAATTAAGCACTACGAGGAAATAAAGAATTGGTCCACGCTTATTGTGCGTATATTGAGTAGGAGATACACGGGGGAAGTTTGGAGAGCACGAGGGAAGCGAAGGAGTTGCTCGAGGCGCAGCGAAATTAAGCCTGAAAGTCTTGTGAAACCTCGCAGCTAAACTCAACGGGAACTTTCAGCCGAAGTGTAACTGCACGCCGTGCGTGCATGAGGATTATACCACGGTAACTCCTAAAGAATTAGATAGGACTTTCGCGCGCGCTATATTTTGAGAAATTTTCTTCCGCGAAACTCGTGGAATAAGTCAAATAACCATTTATTTTTATGAGAGCAAGCTAAAACGTTCAGTTAAAAGGAAGCCAAATTCTCGGTATTATGATATGCAAATAATTATTAGATCATCCCTCATAGCAAAAAATGCGAGTGGAATAAGTGGCTCAATCGTATCTCTGCCGCTAAGATCTGCACGATTGAATCGACCATCTGACTTAGAGAACAGATTCATCGTGACACGAGACTATTGTCCCCATGGTTCTTGTGGTTAAGTGTGTGGCACTAAGTCCATCCTCAGTGTTCCTCTCAAAATCAACTTAACATTGCTAGACATCTGTGTCAAACTTCTAAGTTCGATGTGCATAGTTTATGATATTCTACCGGTTGGACGTCGTCATCGCTTTAATTATCAGTTATCACATAAAGTTACAACTATCTGAGTCAAACTTTAAGGGTTCGAGGTGCATACCCAAAGATTTTACTTCTGCTTTTCTGAGTTAGGATTTTAATAAATAGCGAGCTCAAGCGTTTCTGCTGTACGAGATAATGTGTACGCTACTTGAGTGGATCTCAAGAGAGCTGTCTCCGTAGGAGCTCGTCATCGTTCGCATTCGATAGTTCTCCCGCAAACTTGATAACCTTCGACTGAGACCGTCACAATGAAAACATTGCCTAAGGCCGTTGCGATAGTTCTTGCTAAAGGTAAAACAAATGCAGGGATTAACTGCACTCCATGAATGCAGCATAAAGTAAGAGATAAATGGGATAATTGTTTGAAATGCACAAACGGGTGGCGATTTCCAATTCCATAGAAAAATAAGAAGAAATAAATAGGTAAGCAGAGGAGTCATGCAGGTAACAAAGGAAATCATGATGGCCATCGTCATTTCGACAATTTTCCTCAGCTGCTGATCTCGATGGTTTTGACGACAAGACAATCGCTCTTTACTTTTCTTGTTCTTTTTTCTTATTGTCCATATGATAATGCTATACACAATAACCAGGATAATTACGGGAATGAGGGTAAAAGTTATAAACGATGCCGTAACAAATCCCTTGTGTGTTTTCAGGTGGTCGAGTGCTGGTCCCCAATTTAAGATACAATACGTTTTATTTTCGTAGAGGATCAGTTTGAAACTGTAAAAATAAGGTGCGTGGAAGACGATGGCGACACACCACGTGATTAGTATGCTGATCAATCGTACTTTTGAGGAGATAAGTTTGGCCTTCAGTGGAAAGACGACAGCGAAGAGCCTGTCTATCGAGATCAAAAGAAGGCTTCCGATGGAAACCAAAAGGGAAACATCTGGCAGAAAGTAGGCAAGTTTGCATAGAATGTTTCCTAGCAGCCACGGACGATCAACTTTCCAGGATTCCGAGCCTGAAATGATCTCAACGATCTTCACAGTTATGACGGTCAAAGGGTTGAAGAGGTCAGATACAGCCATGTTGAAAACGAAGTAGTTGACGGATCTTCGTAGCTGCTTGTTCTTGTAAATGACCACAAGAAGAAAGATATTTCCGAAAAACGAAACCATGAAAATAAAAATATAAGCCAGAGCTTTAGCTGTAACCTCTACAGCGGAGTCGGCTGTTATTTCACAAGCTTGGTCGGAATTACTCGAAGCTGCATGGATGGTTATCTGTGTACTGTTTTCGGATAAGAATGTCATGGTTGTGTTCACCGTTATAATTTTCTCTGATGTTCGTCAAATTTACGAAAAGGCTATACAAAGTTCTTAACACGATCACTTGTTTAAGTCGCAGCACTGAGTTCGTTGAAGTCGCCGTATGGTCTGATCAAAGTTCTAAGGATGGGTTTTAAAGTTCATTTAAATACATAAATACAAATAAATGACAGATGAATACAATTAAATGGGGGCAAGGCTGACAACGAAAGCAATCATGATTATGTATATAGACTGTCGAATTTAAAGGCTAATGGATGGGTGACTTATTTGCCATATATAATTCTAGAACTGTCTTCTTATAACTCCATGGTAATGACTTTCCCTTGAGATAAAACAAAAGCAGATAAAAGGGGAGCAGATGGAAAGTCTTATTGAAGACTATTTAAGTATGCTGGATCAAGGACGCCGTGTTTTTTTTCTTCTTTTTTTTTTCTTTTAAGGTTTTATTCATAATCTTAGGATATAGATTTTTTTTCTTCATGAGGCAGAGCTTTTTGCCAAGGGCTGGGTAGTTTTGAGAGAATTACAAGTTATGCACAATTTTTTTTATTTTATTAATTTGGTTCTTCTCTTTCGAAGTTTCTACGAAGTGTGTACATCTGGTGGCAACAGTCACGAAAATAATAATGATAAAAAATAACACTCGGCGACCTATAGTTTTATTAGAGGATATCAACACTGATTTTTCTTTATAAGCGGGGAGAAGTTGTCCGCAGACGAACTTGATATTGCTAATCTTGACATTGCCGTGTTGTACACATGAAGAATTTCGGCATCTCGAGGAGTGATAAAGGACTCTTCTTCGTCGGAGCTACCACTGCTTTGTACACTCACTGCACACGAAACACCTATAAGTTTTCAGCCCGTACCTCCTCAGAAAAGATATTTCTACAGTTTTAAGCATACCTTAACTTGTACGTTTTTTCATGTGTTTTTGTACATTCCTCTTCAGGAGCAAACAGTACGTGTAGAATTCGTATCTGCTTTATGTTTTTTACGACAGATTTTGTTGCTATCAAACGTAACAAGTTCGCGACTAGATATTTTTGGTTTGAAGCAAAAGAAATAAATTTTTAAAAAGTATTAGGTAACCTCTAATTGGAAGATAAAAATCGGCCGATTTTAATTTTTAGCCAGAAATCATCGGTCGTTTCTTAGGCGCAGGGGCTCTTAAAGGTTCACGATCGTTAGTTTTAACAGCACCTCTTAGTTTCGTTGAAGTCACCGTTTTGTCTGACCAAAGTTTAGTGAGGGTGGTTTCTATTTATATGAAAAGTTTTTGTCTTCAAGTTCTCATTCCAATTAACAAGACATTAATGCAAATATGTGTGGGCAAACTAGACACATTAAGCAATAGTAACGTTAAAAATAAAGTATTGCTCTCGTCCCACAATATAACAATATCGACTTCCCATTGAATTAAAACAAAAGATGATATAAAGAAGCGGGGATTTTAACTTGCAATTATGATAATTGCAAGTTTTCCTTTTTTTCTTCAGACCGGTTTTTTTTTTTTTTTTTTTTTTTTTTTGCTGAGAGCAAAATAACTCGTAGCTTAGAACATGTAATCACAAGTTATGCTCATTGCTTTGTTTAATTTTTTCCTCAAAGTTAAAGTTTGATTATTGGTTGTAAAAATACCCACAAAGAACACTTAAGAATAATTACAAATATATATTCTGCTTAGAGTATTACAGAGATTTCCGTAACAAGAGGCCTCTAAGCCTTCCTCTTGAGCAAAAAAAAAAAAAAAAAAAAAAAAAAACTGACCTTTGGGGGATTTAAAACAAAAACAACCACAGACAATTGTGGTCGGTCGGCTTGTTTGATACTGCAGATAGTTCTAATCACAATTTTCCAGATATAATTAACTATAACTTTGGCGGTGGTAAAACTTGCACATCTTGCAGCCTACCTTTTTTTTTCTTTTTGACCTCAATAAGCTCATAAATTTACATGCTACGGTTATTTTTCCTTTATTCTTGGTTGGTCATTCAAAACGTTAACTATCAGGCATGCAAGAGTGTCTGTTTTGCATTACACAACAGCAAGGTTAAAATCTTTGTGAGCTCAATATAAAAACAAGCAATTCTTCTTAATACGATGTCATTATCAAATATCTCTCCTTTCTTACCGTGTCAAATCAGGAATAATCCACAGCTACGTAATCTAGAGGAGAGAAAGAGGTTTTTTTTATTATCATTTGCGAGTAAGTGACTATGAGATGGAAAGAACCTCCCAGAGAATCGATAGCTAAATGGTGGAATAGAAAATTTTGATGTAAAGTTTGTGATAATCCAATAGGGTCGCTATACGAAGCTGGTTTGTCAAATAACTGGTTTCATGGAGACGTATATTTAATAATTACTCATCGCAATGGACTTTAAATTTTTTTTAAGTATATACCACACAGACACCAAGTATTAGTTTATCTCTTTCAATATCACCAAAAATGATCGGAAATTAAAGTCTTTAGCGCAATTTTGTCTAAAAGGCTGCTCGGCGGTGAATAATACTAGCTATTAACTTCCGAATTAGCAAATCAGCGCCGCGAAAAGCGCTATTCACCTGCGTGGCGCATACTAACTTAGTTTAATAGATGGAGCCGGTGTCACAGTGGATTTGGGCCCCACTCGGTCCAAATCCGCTAGTGGATATGGACCCCCCTTCGCAGATTTGGACCCCCCTAACTAACTTTCCTTTTAAGCATCCTTTGTATCATACTTAGTTACTAATTCTATTTGCAAGCTTTTTTGTCGATGTTCTTTTCAATCACAACACAACATTTCCTTAATAATGGTAAAAGTGGAGACTATTACATCGAACTCAATCTTATTTTCTAATTTTAACGATTACTAACTGTTGAGGGATCCGAAATAACACCTTAACAATTACGAAACAATTATGCAGACAATGCAGAGCCACTCGCCCTCCGAGGCAGTCTTAAATCCCTCGAAGCTCATGTGTAACCTTTCCTCGCACAACTCGCACTGTACCATGCCGTCCTAACACTCGGGCATTGAACAATGACAAAATAAATAAGTGTCACAAGTTTGTCTCTTATTGAATCTAGCGGTGCTCGGCTATCGCGGAAAAGGTTCAAAAACGACCTCTCTCCAGACATTAAACTAAATTCTTGCCCATTTTCCCTTCGCCAAAAGAAACATCCGACGGGATGCCAGTTCGAATGCATTAACGATACGAATGTTTTGAATCAAAAACATACTTTAGTACGCACTGGAACGTAAAGTATTATCCATTTTTACGAGAACGGATGTAAGGATGATGTTTTCACTCAGTTTCGTAGGGGGGGGGGGGGGTCCAAATCCGCGGAGGGGGGTCCATATCCGCTAGCGGATTTGGACCGGGGGAGCCCATATCCACCAGCGGATTTGGACCAGGGGGTCCAAATCGCTGGGACACCGGCGTTGGCAAACGCATAGTAATGTTTAAGGGTTTTTTCGCTAATATAGGTGGGAAATTTATTTCTCATCAAAACTAATTTCAAATTGTTGCACATTCTCCCGAGATTTAGTACACGGAACCCAATGAACTAGCCCTCCTTTCTGCAAATTTGTTTCCGTCATTAACGAATAAGTTTGGTAGGGGGGGGTCCAAATCTGCGAGGGGGGATCCATATCCGCTGGCGGATTTGGACCGGGAGTCTAAATCCGCGGGGGTCCGAATCCGCAGTGACACCGGGATGACGTATCGAGTCATTTGAAGTACTACCAGCTATCCCGCGAAAATTACAAGTTAATTTTGTTTCGTTCCGGTCATTTTGACCACGATATGGAAAAAATATAACAGTTATTGGTATGTTCTAAACATCCGAACACTTAAAGAAACATTGGAAATGCGGTGAAAGTACTTGTTAACAACCACAGCACAAGGGAAATGTGAGGCAGTGAAAGAAAGCTAGACTGACTGGAGATGTTTTCGAAGTTTTCGGAATTAAAGTTGTAGTCGGATCACATGGGTAATATATTCTCGAGAGTGAAGGCTATTATTTAACTAAAGACTGATTCGTAAGTGCCTATCTAGGCTATCTGCACCAGTAGACAAAACCAGAATTCTCTTGACAAAATCAAAGGACAAATTGTGTCATGACGAATTTTTGTCTCGATTTTTGCATCTGCTTAAAATTTCAAAACTGTCAAACTTCGTCAGGGCTTGATCTGCTCATGAGACCAGCTGGCATAGTTTACCAATGGACTCAATCTCCAGTTTCAGGATTCATCTTAAGTCGTTTCAAAGTTTTAAAATCCATGAGTTTCTCGACAAAAGAAAGTTGCCTTCCAGGTAAATTTTAGTGAGTTGAATGACAAGCTGGTGGCGGTTTTTACGACAAAAGGCGTTGAAAACTTAGTCTCCTTTCACTGCCTCACATTCTTCTTTTTGCTCTGGATGCTAAAAAAATACTTTTACCACATTCCCAGTGTCCTCTCAGGCGTTCTAATATTTAGAAAATACCAATAACTGTTTTATTTTTTCCAAATCAGGGCTGAAAAATCCAAAGCCACTCCAATCTTTGCTTTCCATCAATCAAGTAAACATTTTAAATGATAAAATTATCTTTAAAATGTAAAATTCTTCAGTCAATTTCAATAGCTTTCGATTCTAATTCCTTACACTAACTAATTTTGGTTCCAACTTGTAGAACCCGCGAAACAAGTCATATGACAAGGTGAAAAATTTGCACAACACGTCATGCATTGATTTTGATGGTCGCAAGGAAATGTCGAGATTGTCGCTCAAAACCGTTGTGGTCCATAAGAACGTCATATCATTAATGACGGGAACAAATTTGCAGAAAGGAGGGCTAGTTCATTGGGTTCCGTGTACTAATTCTTGGGAGAAACTGCAAGGATTGTTTCAGAGTGTAAGCGCGTTGTTTTGTAAATATAAACGCTGTAACCTATTTTTACTCGTTTTTGTGTCCTTTTAAGCAACGCGATATGTCTGTTATGATCTGAGTGCCAAATTTTATTCTTTAATTTTGATCTTTTCCACACTGTGCGTAGTTCATGACCTGATAT